CGCGTTTCAAATTTCAGATTAAACCGAACTCGGTGGCTCTGGAAAGCTAAGACTCGGAGCTTTCCAGTGATACCTAGATCGTCTTCTGGGTCCTTACAGAATGATGGAAAAACAGCCCGAAAGTTCGTTGTTCAGAACTGGAAACATGAAATTCCAGTCTCAGAAAATATGAACGACACGTTGACATCTAAAGAACACAGAGAACGGAGATTACATTGGAAACAGGATCGGAAACTTGTTATGAAAACTAGACAGAGAAAGATTTCCATAGATAGGCGGATCGTCTCCTAAGTCCTTCTGGTTCAACAAGAATCCTCCCTCGAAATGGACTGATGCATACCCAAAACCTAGAAGTTTCGCTCTAATCCGATCCGATTTCCCAGCCATTCGTCTCCCCTTCTAAAATCGGACAGAAATTTTTTTCTCTCAAGAAAGTCACTTCTTTCACAATTCTCTCTAACTCTTCTAATTTTCGGCCAAAAGAGCCACAAAACGCGATCTCCACGCTTATATAATGGAACCCTAGGGTTTCCCAAACTGATCGCCAAAACGAGCGATTAAAAACCAAACCAGACGGTTCAATTTCAACTTGCCTCGATCGACGCATAACACATGTGTCGATCGACGCAACACCTAGAACCCGACTCCTCGCGAGTCCAAACACGTGTGTCGATCGACACACACACTGTGTCGATTGACGCATCACCAAAAATACACATTTTGGTTCACGGGCGTTACAATTCTCCCCCACTAACACGGATTCATAGCCATATACATATACACCCCTAACACTCCCAGGGTCGTCATCCTGGAGATCATGGTGTATAACATATCCCTCCCACCTTCAGGACCGCTATCCATCAGGCTATCGGTATGCTCCATGCCCCTCTCACTCTTAGAACACACAGTCCGTCAAGCTATCGGTATGCAGGAGACCTCGCTTGTCCCCTGGAGAGAACCTCACCTGTCCCCTCGAGATATATGTAGGAAACCTCACTTGTTCCCTGGNGANAACCTCACNTNTCCCCTCAAGTATACCCAGGAAACCTCACTTGTTCCCTGNTGCACNTTCTGTAACGTGCCTCATAAGTACCTGTCGACCAGAATCACTTCTCGTGGTCCTCATGACATCCCCTCATCTGGAATATCATCACATCCATGACCAATCACTAGGTCATTCGAAATAACCCAACCACCATGGGTGTTTCCACAGAGTCCCTGGAAAAGACAGTTCTAACTCACATAAAACCTCTTTTCCAGACTCTCCCTAGGAAATAGACAGATCCTAACTCACATAAGACCTCTATTTCCCAGCACCATTTAGAGAACAGACAAGTCCTAACTCCCATAGAACCTCCA